ATACTTACCTATAAATGTATTTCTCCCAAATTTCAGCCTGCTGAGCTGGCCAATGCAGTACAACTCCAGGGTGCAGTTATGCCCATCCAACAGTCGCGTCTACCCATCAAGGCTCGCAAGATCACTGATGAGGAAAAGAATACTAGTGTATTCCGTAGCATGCGTATTGCACGTGCTAATGCCAGGTTGATTGGCATCCGAGAGAAGAGGGCCAGGGAGAAGGCTGAGCAAGATGCTCTTAAGAAAAAATAATCTGTGAATAAATGTTGAAATTCATTTGTTGCAGATCGTTGTTTTTAATCGGCATTTTGAACTACTGTCCTGATTTGGTTTAGCACCCTCCTAACAACCTAAACCTATCATCCATATACGTAGTTTAAAAATAACACAACTGATATAACAAACCAGTCGATCTTATTCCAAAAGCAATATGTTTCTCTTCTGGTATATTTCCTTTTCAACAAGATTTAATGACCTTTCCTCTTTTAAATATTTGACTTTTTTTTTTTTTCTCCTACCTTGGAGCGGCCCACATGGGGTATGACCCACATATGGTATGACCCATTTAGTTACAAGTGGTCACCCTCCAAAAGTAGGCTAGGCTAACATTCCATGAAATTTTACCACCATTTACCATTTACAAATTTCTGCATTAGTTCCAGAGACATTTAAGTTTGAAAAATGTTTAATATATTCAAGACTAATGACATCATACACTCTACCCAATATTAGGTAGATTAGGCCTTAAAAGATTGAATACACTACTAGCAGGCCATCCACGCTCGCAGAAAACCTTGGTCACATGAGAGCAGGAAAGGCAAAAATTTGTTAATTCTCGTGTTCAGATCATGTCTGTTTTTTGCTAAAACAGAGAAAATAAGTAAAGGAAGTGATCTATGAAAAGAAAAGAGGTCACCGACCATTTAGGAGAGTAAACCTGCCCTCCCCCAGTGCCAAGCCCTACACTTGCTTATATTTCTTCCTTGGCTTGTGCCTGATGTCACATGCATGACATTGCCTTATGAATTATGTGCATGGTAGTGAAAGATGTGCAGTTACAATGGGTATGAATGTCTTTAAAAGGAGGGACATCTCCAAAATGGTCAATTTTTTTCATGTCTGTGTCACAGACAGACAACCTTAAGTCTTTATTGAAGCATGATAAAATCTAAATCTTTCTTATTTATAGCCGCCTTGTTTATCTTTGAGTTATCATTACAGAGGAATCCCGATTTCTCAATCCTCAATTTTTTGAACCTAATAACTCAAACCACAGTCTCCACACAGTCAAAAACTAATTTTACCCCCAATTTCTCAAACTATCTGATTTTTGGAACCAGTTTTTGTTTCCTTTGGAGGTTTGAAAAATCAGGATTCCACTGTACTTCTTTAAATTATGTTATTCTACTTTCAGGAACTATTATTTTGAGAGTTCCTTCAATGTAAAAGCGATCAGAAAATGACTAGCAAGCTTGCAGGCGTAAACAGGAAAGGGGTAGGAGATGCAAAAGATGTAAGGGAGTTCCCCCCTCCTTTCATCCCAGCTCTCCTTCCCCCTCTGCTGTCTAATACCTGCTATGCATATGCAGGCTAAAAAATGACTTCAACTATTGTGTCATTGCTCCTTTAATTTCTATGCATGTATCAGAAATATAAATTCAAGTAAAGAGCTGTTTACAATATGATGCAAATTCAGAGAACAATGATGGTCATTGCTGTCGAAACTTAGAAAAGTAATCTAGAACTCATTCCCAGACCCTGGCCTTCATGACAACCTCTCCTGTTTCCCTATATTACAACAGTAAACATATTATACACAGTGAAAGACTTTTCAGTGAATATAAATAATTTAAGTTTCTTGGAGACTTAAATTCGGCTGTTATGCTTCTGCTGTTCCAAACTAAAGTTATGACAAGTTGCACAACTGCAGTGCAGACATTGTACTGTGGTAGCTCAGTGGCGCCAATTTATTTAGACACCAGTGAGAGTATCTTTCTAAATTGTTAAGCAAATCTTTAGTCACTTAGCCATCACTTGGTCTATTGTCCACTTGAAATTTAGAAAAGCAAAATGGAGGTCTATGGGTTGCGAGTGTCTTTTTAAAAGTTTTAGGATATATGGAACTTCGTTCTTGGAGGAGGTGATGGGAGAATGCGTGATTAAAATTATTACTATTAACATGCAAGAGTGATTGAAATAATTATGAAAACAAACTTGGTGATAAAATGATAAAACAATAAAAATAATTGTTTCAATTAATTATTGAAATAATTCAGTTATCGCAAAATATTGTGATATGTCAGTGTCTCGCAGATCATTTGCCCCAGTCAATCTGTTCACCACTGACAAATCACAATATTTTGCTGAACCTCAATCAATAATATTAAAATAATTATATAATTTTTTTTATTGTAGTTGAGTTTGGCACAGCAGAAGCACAATATCTGAACCGGAACCTATATCCTTTATGAGTCTTAAATAGAAAGTTCAATCTTTCTTGGGTTTTGTACTTGGATCAACTTCCTCATCAATATCTTTCAGTTCTTTTTCTTCGAATTCACCCTCATCCATAACCCCAACTCCTTCATCTTCCATGTCATCCAGATCTTCCTCCTCAGGACCAGGGTCAGCAATACACAGCATATAAATGATAAATGTAAATACTAGCAGGGGAAAACCAAACATAAGCAAAGCAGCAATGGGCTGAGTGGTCCAGATGTCCTGTGTATTGAAAAAAAAAAGAAAAAATGGTCATCAACAGCCATCAGAAAGCAGATCCTGTTGGTCTCCCCTTAGGCCACCCCTTATTGGATCTCTCCTGTGATCAAGACCATTCCTAAAAGCTGTATAAACTGTATAGATGTAGTTTTAGACAATATCCATACCTCCCCCACAGAAGGAATTTTTTTCAAAACCCCCCCCCCCCAACCCCTCTGGAAATTCCAATTAAGCTTCATGCATTTCTATTAATTTTTTTGGCGAGGAGCCCCACCCCACAGGAAATTCCAATCCCTTCTTTGGGGGGAGTATGGATAATTTCTGGAGCTGCACATTGAAAGTTTGAACACATTTTGTATTTTACCAGGTATCTTTAACTGCTTCCATGTCAGTGGTGCCCATGATTTACCCAACAAAGTTGGACAGCTGAAATAAAATTATTCTGTCTTTGCTCTTTAAAAAGNCTTCCAAATCTCAGAGATGCACATCTAAATACTTCTGAAACCCTCTCTTATAATAATATTGCATGCTACTGTTTGTGAATAATCGTAGGCAGATAATCACAGTCAGAGTATTAAAAGTAATAGATTTATACCTACATATTACATTTCCAATCAATATTTACCTTGAGCCTCGCAGATAGTTGTGGATTCTCATTACTTGTTACCAGAAAAAAGCACACACTTTTTTCTTTCCTAACTCTTTCCACTTGCGCAACATTCTGAAGCTCAGTTACTGCTGGTCTGAAACAGAAAATGAAATATTAAAAAATAGAAATTGGTGAAATCTTTCAAGGATCTTCAATCCTTGTGGAATCTTAATTGAGTATCTTAATCAAGATTCTCAAAGATCGTTGAGGTTCTTGGGATCCTTAGTGACTTGTAAAAATCCTTACAAGGATCTTCAGAGATCTTGACCAAGGCAAGATCTTTAAGGATCTTCAAATTTTTTGCCCATGCCAAAGAACTTGCCAAGATCTTTGAAGATCTCAGAGGATTGTTGCAAAGATCTCTTAGATCTTTGAAAGATTGTTATCTCTAACTTGGATCCTCAGAGGATCTTAAAAGATCTTCAAACATCCTTTTGGTTTTCACCAGGGTTGCCCATTTACAAGGCATGGAACCTGACATATTACAATCAATAATATTGCAATCACAAGGGTGAGTGAGTTTCAAAAAAACTTCAAAGGCTAAGATTAATTAAATAATATAGAATAATGTTCAGGTGGCACCATTGAAGTGTTTCCAACTCATCCCTTGTGAACACTTTTCTTAAGTTTATAGTCAATATCGACAAGACAGTGTTAAGTTACTGTACCTGTTAGGATGCACACGTACCTGTTGGCTTTCTCTGCAAACTGGATAATATCCTGAACTGTACGTTCCCCTTCAAATGTTATTACACGCTTTCCTTTAATACTGTAATCATAACAAAAAGAAGTCATCATGTGCAACTGATCATGACTGGAATTAAGTAAAAAGTATATTTATTATTTGTTAATTCACGTACAATTTAATTGAAGGAAATCCTCTAACACCAAACTCTCTTGATATCCCTGACAATGAAAAGCAAAAATCAAGAGTTCAGCCATGGAATGATTAAATAAAGTTCAGGTTGGCAACGTGGTACATGTAGCTAATGAGAAGGCTAGCCACTATCAGCTAAGCATCACTGGATAGCATTTTGTCTGGCTCTCCAGTGACCTTGCAACAGAAACTGTCCTCATGGCTTTGCAAGTTTACCTTATTATTTCCTGACAAACAGACAAGTACTAATAGAGTGATTGATTGTAAATTTCTCGGATAATGTGTACTTAAGGTATCTGTCAACCGAGTATCAGTTGATACTGTCGGCTGATATGTCGACCGACAGTTGGCCGACATATCAACCAACATTGACCGACACACATGTCGGCCGACACTTGGCCGATACTTCACCGTGACTCGGCCAACACTTGGCTGATACTTTACTGACACTTGGCCAACACTACGCTCATTTGGTTGGCTCTTGTTACTGAGTTCTATCTTCTCTACTCAAATATTAAGTAATTGCTTTTATATATGACCCTTGTCACTTTCGGAAGTAGCAATCTCTGGGGCTTGTTGCTTATAGAGGTTTGTTATTTTACAGGAGCAAAAAATGATACAAAAAGTTGCATTAGATATGTATTCGAAATGACAGCAGTTTGAGCTGCATCCTTGTTCTATCAACATGTGAGCATAAGCGATAGAGACTATTACAGCAAAACAACGGTTAACAATGTACCAATACACCACTGACAGTCGACCAATACACCAGCGGCTGTCGATCGCAACATATTGGCCGAGGTGTCCACCGAGTGTCGACTGACATACCGACGGATAGTGTCGACCGATGGTCTATTAACTTAAACAACATGTCGACTGACACTCGGTCGACTCTCAGTCGATATATCGGCCGAGCATCAGCTGGTATGTCGGCTGACTGTCGGTCAACATCTTGGCCGATAGTATCGACCGATACTTGGTCGACAGATGCCTTAAGTACACAAGATCTGCCCATACCTGAGAACCTAGTAGCATCTAATTTTGCAACTACAATAGAGGATCCATGAAGAGTTCTTCCTACTTCTGCCCATATAGGCTCTAGTTTCTTGCAGTAACCGCACCAGGGTGCATAGAACTGACAGAAAGAAAAAACCAGCTACAGTATTAACAGTATTAAAGTCACCTGGAAATCAGAGAAATGGTTTGATCACTAAAAAGATGATAAAGAAGTTAAGTACATGATGTTTACAGCAAATGACAAATGGCACAATAACCTCTGATTTTGTGTTCTTTTCTTCTAATCCTTAAATACAGCACACACAAATAGAAACATGTCCCCTAATATGCACCTAAATGAAAATATTTTTGCTCTACTGTGCAAACAACTGAAGACAGACGACATTTAAGTTTAATTAATATTTTTTCTGTTTGCTGTTTGCCGCAAACATCATGCTTAGCATCTCTGATAATTCAGTGATGATTCTCAGAGATGGTTAATTAACAATCAGGGGGTTTCATCAATACAGTTTTCAGCAGGAGGGCAATAACATTTAAATTTGAAAATGTTCAAATTTAACCAAGGTCTTTATAAGAAAATGTTTCCTAGACATGCTCAAACAGGCAAAAAAAAAAACATGCTTGCATTTGATCAATTCAACCGTTAAATAAACATAATGTGCAAGCTCACAAAAAACCAGTAAAATACCCAACCTCTACTAGCCAACTTCCATCTTTCTTTAAATCTGCAAAGCTGAAACCAAGATAAGAAGTTGAGCTTGTAAAATCCTCCAAAATGGAAGAAACATACAGGTCTGTGACTTTGCCCAACCAGAACTTGTGGGACAGTGTATCATACACATGGGGACAGTATCACTAAATATCTAACAGATCTATGATATGCATAGGGCTCCGATCCTGACATCATTGATCAGTTTCTATTTATTTTTGTATATTCACTAATGGTCAGTTCAGTTCTATGAGATGTGCCTGCAGGAAATCATGGTAGTTGTATCAATCAAAACAAATATCGCTTCCAAGATGATGAATACAACTACCATGAATTTCTGCAGGTGCATCGCATGGAGGGAATTGGCCGTTATCGATCGGAAAACTTACTAGACCAGGTTAATAATTTTATGACTTTTTATAGACAGTAACAATGAATGAGACCGAATTAGCTCATTATATGGTTAGCACATCTCCAGTTTGCTTGTGGTTAGTTTAACTTGGGTTTGCTTATGGTTCTAAAGCTTTTATTTTGTGGTTTGGGTGACACTGTATTAAATATATTTAGGGTTGCAGAATGTATATTTAAAAAATTGACCTCTTGCAGCTGGTGTTCCAATGGTGTAGTGGCAGGGGTTAGTGAACGGCAGGAGTAATTTGCAGAATGCCGAACAACGAATGCCACATGCCTAATGCACTGTTTGCTTGCAGTTAGTTTCACTTATATTTGCTTGCGGTTAGCTTTTATTTGTTGGACAGGGCCATATGCAATATAATGCTGTCCTTAACAAACAAAAACTTACCACAAGCAAACATGAGTGAAACTACAGCAAACAGTGCATTTGGCGTTCAGTGTTCGACATTCTGCAAAATACCCCTGCCAGTTAGTTAATGCATCCTGAATCAAATTTCTCAGGTTCAATTCCCAGTGGCCACATGTTAAAATTTCTTTCTTCTTCTTTATTTGAATTAAAAAAAAATAAGTGTTGGGTAAACTTCAAGTAAAAAAACAAAGGTTGGGCTCATTGATATTTAAGGCCTTCCTTATCGATCTAGTATTAATCTGGTAAACCTTACTTGTTTCCTTTTGATAATTTTATACTCTATACATTATTACCAAATAAAAAAACATAAATATCAAAAGGCTTACAAAGGCAGAGAAGACTGTATTAAAGTCACGTATCTTTCACGATTTGGCATGAACAGTTGTGCCTAAGCTTATAGGTAAAATACTGGATAAAATTTTGCCAATAAGAATAATCAGAACTCAAAAAGACCAGAACGTAATGATTTTCTGAATCGCATCAAAGGGAAACAAGAGCGTTTTTCTTCACCTTCCACTTTACAAATCAGCTAGAATATTTAAAAATGGTTTTCAATAAGATCTAAAAAACTAAGGCTTATATACCAAAAAAAACCCAACAGTTTTCAGTAGTTTTGCACATCACGCTCACCTGCCATCCAGCTCCCTTACAAAAGCGCTGCACCCACACACCAAAAGAACTGAGAAAGGTAAAGTATATCTGAGCATCCCACTCACTGCATGTATTCCAAAACTACTAAATATCAGAGAAGTGTTACTTACCAAAAGCAGGGATGGAAAACCAGAATCTACGCTGGAAAAGTTCCGAACTGCTTCTGTTGGTCGCCATCTTGACAGCTGGCTTTTGAACTGAACTCAGTCTTCCCACGGTTGTCAGGGACCGTCGCTGATCCGCCGCCTGGTATCCAGACAGTGTACAGTTCACACTTGGTACATGGTACTGCTGGGAACTAATGTGAACACACTTGCTACTCAAAGTACTCAAACCGAATTGTTATTGGGTACTTCGAGTACTGAGTGTGAACGCAACATCACTGGCTCGAGATTTCTGTCATACCCGTGATGAATCACGAGGGCGCAGCGCGCAGCCCGAGTCTACCACAGAGAATATCGAGAGCGAATAATCCAGGAATAATCAAATAAAATTGTTTTAGTATTTATTACATCCAGTTCGAAATCAGTGATTGGCTCTCTCTAAATAAATCGCTCTTTTTTTTGCTCAAAATCGCATCTTTTCCCCTGCCAATAGGAATTTAAAGTAGCCAATCAAATAAATTGCGGGAAAGCCAGTGCGATCTACTCACGAATCGCACTGTTTTTTACTCCAAATTGCACCTTTTTCTGTTTTGCATACAAAATGAGATGTAAAAAGTTTTCGGTTCTTCATTTTTAACAAAACTGGCTACCGGATCAATAAATTATTGGAACCGGACCAAATTCTTGTATTCAGGCGATAAATAGTGCGATTACAAAATACATGAAGGAGCAATTGGACTTCGTACCGTGCAATTTTGGTCTGAAATCATACTTGCGATTTCAAATCGAACTTGCACACAAACTCGTCCCCGGGTCTCGCCCTCTAGGCCCCTGGAACAAGCGAGAGAGGAAACACTCTCCTCTCTCGCTAACTCTAGGGGCGGGAAGATGAGAGACCCTGGAAACGAAGTTGACTTGCACACTGCTACTAGGTGACCACTATCTATTGAACGGAATAGATAGTGAGTAACTTAGCCAATACTGAAGAGATAGAACGTAGAGCGTGATTGAACGCTAGTAGAATTATACCAATAGGTATTACAACAATTCAATCCGCGCCAGATTTTGCTAAACTGTGCTAATGTAATATGTAGAGAAATAACTGGAAATCGCTAATTTAAAAGAAATTTGGTCAGAATTCTACTATGACAATTAGGGTCCATTGTATTGTCTCTCGATTTCTATCATTTCAATCACCTCATAGAAATCCCGAGCTCATTATTTAGTTGTTAATGAGACCACATTCAAAATTCCCAGTGGGTAGCTATGGTAATGAAAGCTGATAAATTACGTTTACCCAGTTTAACTCAAATTGCCTTCAGTCCTGAAAAGCGTCCATGACTACCGCGTCCCCGACAAACATTTTAAAAAGTCATCCTGTCCTGGCGACACTACCAGAAACGAAAATCCCAACAAATTCCAGCAGGAATAACAAGGACTGGTCGGGGATTGATACCGTAAATCGTAAATCCTTTATTCGTCTTGAAATAGTCTGGGGTCAGTTTCAGAGGTCTTTTTCGCGTCAGGGACCTGTTTCTCGAAAGCCCTGGAAAGTTTTCGGGTCCGAAAAGCCATTTTTTGTTAATCAATATTTAAAGACATAGAGGTGTACACGCCTGAAACTTCTTGCACGGAATGGAACCTCTGTTTATACTAAGAATATGCGAAAATAACAGCTCTGTAATCATAAGGTTTGAGATTTTGCTCCGGCTTTCCAGGTGCGAAAACTCAGTTTTCGGGACTTTCGAGAAACAGGCCCCTGGTCTGCTTCAGAATCCTGTAACTGGATCCCCGCTGTTTCCGGAGAGTTTGACAGTCACGGCAACAAACTCACTTATTAATAAGTTATTGGCCGATAAAACCGCAGGAATAAGGACGAATAACGCATTCGTTTATCTCATATGTGATGTCATGTCGCGATGTTGTTTTCAATTATAATTCTTCAAACCCTTTTCACCAGTGTTGAGACTTCAGAGAATGGATCAGGGATCGAACAATTCCACCCTTTCTTGTTTTTCAACGAGAAAGAGGTTTTTGCTCTCCGCGAACGAGCGCGATCTACACACGCTGAAATAGCACAAACGATATCCTTGGCGACCCAAGAGATGAAGCAGAATCCAGAAAGCTATCTACCACCCAGAGATTGGCAAAAGTTCTCCAGGGCTTGGAATGAACGTTACGGCAACGATCTAACCGCGGTGGCATTCTATTGTGTTTTATACCCTGAAGATATCAAGGCGAGAGAGTTAGCGATCTCATTTATGGAGCGACTTGAAAATCTTCCAAACTGGCGCGTAAACGCTACTTTACACGACGATGTTCCAGTAGCACACTCTTTAACCGGCATGGCGACCGCTTACGACTTTCTGTACGGGCAGTTAAACAATACTCAAAGAACACGCTTCTTGAAGAAAATAACAAGCGTGACGAAAGAACTGTATGGAAGATCTTACGACAAATCGCTTTGGTGGGGATCCTCTTACTTACAAAATCACGTGGCTACAAACTACATGGCAATTTTCACCGGCGCTTTGATTGTCGTTCGGCATAAGGAGCTCGAGGCGGAGAAATGGATGTCACGCGCTCACCTAATGCTGAGTAGAAACCTAGAACTGTTTAACTATATTGTGGACGGCTCAATCGATGAAGGAGTGGCTTATGGTACGTACACGTCACGCTCGTTGATCCAGTATGTTTTCCTTGCGTTACGTCACTTTCGCATTGATTTTACCCGTAGTCCCTGGCTGAAAGAACACTTTTGGTTTCTGCACTATACGGTGCTTTCAGGGTTCAGAGAAACGGTGGGTATTGGTGACTCTAATAGGAACTGGTTTTACGGCCCAGAAAGCCAGCTAGTTTTCCTGGACAACTATGTGTTAAGGAATGGTTTGGGCAATTGGTTGGCTAGACGGATCAGGGAACATAAAGTCTTAAAGGCGCCCTTCGCTCAGGCGCCGTCTCACAGAAATTGCATGCTTCACACAGAGTTTCTTTTCTACAATTCTAGTATCAAAGAGAGAGCTCAACCCAACCCGAGCCTGCCTCGACTGCATGTGTTCAGTGACTGGGGAGTGGTTACCTATGGGGGTGGCGTGGATGCCCAAAGCAACGACTCTCGGGATGAACGGGCTACATTTCTTTCCTTTAAATGCGGCGTGCTTCATGGAAGAGCAATAAACTCTGTTGTTAGGCGCAAAACCTTTCGTTCATGGATAAAAGGCTGGAAGAATTTCAACCCTGGCCACGAGCATCCTGACCAAGGATCCTTCGTTTTTGCCCCAAATGGAGTGCCCTTCATTACTGAGACACTCTACGCCCCCAAATTCACGTGGCTCAATAACGCCATAGTGTTTGGCCCCTCACCCAACTCGGAGTGTTCCAGCCACTTCGAGGGGCAGATAGGAGAATGCAAACGATGGTTTAATTTCAAGACAATGGCCGCTTGGAATGCCGAAGGGGACGTTATCTCTGCGTCCAATGAAGGAGGTATGGTTTTTACTAGCGGCGAAATGAACCAGTGGTATCGAGAAGAGTTAGGCTTGCTAAGCGTCTATCGTAGCTTGATTATGCTGACTCCAAGCGTCCTTCTTGTTGTTGATCACATCGAACGCAAACTAGCGGGACGAGCATCGATAATGAGCGCCTTCTTTCACAATATAGACCACTCATTCAGTCTCAACGTTAACTCCACGACAGCACCTCATGCCAGCGTTTCGATAGACGGACTGTTACACAAGGTATACTGGTTCAACCTGGAGAGCGGCGAGGAAAGTTTAGCCCGTGCGGGACATTATTCAACATCTTATAAATCGATGAGAACAAACTACCTTAATGTAACAACGCCGCTAACCGGGCGTTATACTCGGACCGCGTACCTTTTCCTGGGCCCTGGAAATAGAATGGACCTTGCCCCACGAGTGTCAACTTCGCGTGATCTTGGATTAAAGGTGTCGTTAAGAATCAATGGTGTTCACTACGTCGCTTCCATAGCAACAAAGCATAAAGAATCTTTCGCCCGCTACAGTTTCTTGGGTTTTGGTGGATATTGCAAGGTTCAGATTAACGCCAAGAGAACGGTACGTTTTGGTTTGGATGTAATTTCCGTTTCTGATGACGAAGTTGTGACCGATTTATCACCGACTGAGACCACTGATACGCCGACAAACTGGAGTTCTCTAGCTTCCTGGATTCTGCCTTGCAGCATTGTAGGGATTTTGGCATTTTTCTACTCGCAACTTCGGCGCATGCTGATTGGTCGAACCACTTGTCGATTGTTTGTCTGGTGTCTTGGAATATCTTGGCTTTTCACAACATTAGTGATCAATTTTAGCTTCTGCACAGGTGAAAGATGTCCATGGATGAACACTACAAAACACGAAATTACAAGCAACAAGTATATTAGCTTTGAACTGGTGGAAGATCCGCCGATTGTGTTGTACACTTCCCTTCCCTTGGCCGGCGCTGAAATTCTACAACACTTATTCAACAATTCTTCGGACTTCTTTAACGTAGAACGCGCAAGAGTTGCGCGTAAATTTTTGGATCCTTGTTCCGTTTTTTCTCGCTTTCACCCATTTCCTGAAGCGAAGAGGTTGAGAAGTTGGCTCAGAGCTCTTTCGAGAGACCCGAGAGCTGTTTTCCCAAATTTACCTAAAAAGCATCACAAGGCTCTACCGTCGGTCCGATTTGCAGACCCTGGCTGGGCAATGAAGTTTCCATGGCTCAGGAAAGTCCTGGAGTCGAGAGTTCTTGCCGTTGTTGTGGTTAGAGAGCCCATGGGGTGGGTGAACGCCTGGCTTCGAGAAATCCGCGTTGATGATACAATTCGCGATGCTTTACATAAAGCGTTTGATACGATAAAGACTCAAGGCTGCCACGAGAAGAACATGTCTTATTTTGCACCTGAATTCCAGGAAATGCAAGGGTTACTCCTTGAGCACGAGAACAAAAACGGCAAGGACACTGTAGCGCTGCTCGCCCATCTGTGGGCCGCGCACATGAACGCTGTTCTTAACGTGAACTCGCACCGTCATAAAGAGAGCATACGCTTTATTCATTTGGAGGACCTGATCCTGAAGCCTCGAAAAACTGCTCAGAGATTGTTTCGCTTTCTCGGCGTTCCTCTTTCACCAGCGACTGAGCATCGCCTTCTTACAGTTGCACGCACGGAGCAGTTCTCTCTAGGAGCCTCTCGAGAAATTGTTGGCGTCAAGACCGTTTCGGCTTGGAAACGAGAGCTGAAAAGCAAAGATGCTGAAAAGATTAAAGACATCTGCTCTCCAGTCATGAAACAACTTCGGTACGACACCGATGAACTAGAAATATCATAACGCGTAGAAAAATATAATGAGATAATGCTGCCGTAAGTTCTGTGAGGGATGTGTGAAGCCCAATTTACACGCACCGCCCGAGAAAAATTAGCAAAACAAAATCTGTAATTTGTAGTGCAAGTAGAACAATTTTTTTTTCTGCTAAAGCGCTTCGGAAAAGAAAAACGGTAGGCAATGGATAGGTTAGTTTGTATACTAGAGAAAGCACTACAGAGATCATTTTGTTCCTTTGCGGTAGGTTTACCAAATTTATACAAAAGTAGTTCCGACTTCCTAAACATTGGGCGGGCTGAATCCTCAGATTTTCCCGAATAAGGTCGATTTTCGTCCGCCTTAAGTAGGGAGTGATTACATCGCAAAATTCAGCCTTACCAGGTTAGAGGTGCTGAGATTTTTCGCCCAGCTTCCGAAAACAGTTCTCTTAAAATGAAATTGGACTAATTGGTGATTATATATCTAGATTACAGAGAGTGTCAGTCGGGGCTGAAATTCAGCCCAGGCTTGAAATTCCAGCCCGGCTTGAAGAACGGGAGAATCAGGGGCCGTAGTGAAAAAAAGTGAAAACAAGATATCAGAGATGCTCGAGGCTTGTGCAATTTCTTCCAATAAAAGAAATTTCGTGAAAAACTATATTCAGATAAACTGATGCATGTAATAACACATAAAATGCCTCCACAGGAAAAAAAGATGGCGACTGATGCATTTACCTATATTAAACTCTTGGCGCACGAAAATGTTAACAACGCCCATAAAAACGTACAGAAAAGTTCTAACATCTCCAAACCTAGCATACACTATGTCGTTAGCACAGGTACAAATGTTTTAAAAATATGGCTTCCCTTGTACTTTGTGGGCTGTGTAAGGTTCGCATGGTATTGTGGTAAAATGTACAGCCGCCATCTTTTCCCTACGGATGGCGGAGGATTGAGGTACTTCTATAAATAAAGGACTTCGCGTGACTGACCGTCAATTTAGTTTTTCACGTCACGTGCTCGAGATTTCCCAGTTTCTTTTAATATACACTACCATTTTACTAAAACAGGAAACCTCGTGACTAGCTCGCCTGGCTCCCCACGAGATCAAGTAAGGAATATCTTTTCAGGAATTTCTCGTGACAAACTCGCCACTTGAAGTTTTCCAGGTGATTTGCTTTTTTTATATATATAAATAGCCGTTATAAAGTATACGGCAGTGTTATAAATAACACTGCCGTATACTTCCGCGGGTAAATAATGATGTCAGGGTTATGTGAAAATACGGCGAAATACGGCATAGAACTTTGTGTCCGCGAGATTCTAGTAGGGAAAATAAAGTTTTAACGTTTCCGCCTATGTTACAAAGAAATGACACAATATTTGACAATTGCCTCTGTTACATAATTTAAACTGATTATGAAAAGTAATTAAGATTTCATTAAACGTGAACGAAACACGTGAAACTATTACATCAGATTTATTCGAAAACCACGTATCTCTTGTGATTGACCGTATTTCCCCGCCCCTCTCCGCCCCCCCCTCCCCCCAAAAAATAGTAGGAATTATCAGATGGCGTCTTGTAAGGGAAACACTGCAACTGAAAAGTGTTTGAGTCAATGCACTTTTTTGGAAAAAAACGTCTAATTTTCGGACTGAATAGCTCAGTTGTCTGTTGTATTTGTTTCCCTTTGAAGCTCAAACATTATACTAATTTCCAATCGTTTAAGTTTTTCCTAGTTTCGTTTTATAACTACCAATCAAGTCTGACCCAGGATAAGCGTGAAGTTTGATTTCTGATTTGTCAATTTTTGGGGTGTTTTTTTTGTATATATTTTTTGTTCTTCAGTTCTGAGCTTGAATAATCTCAAACTATACAAGACTTGAGCGTCAAAAACATTTTTTAATGGAAGAGAAATCAACCCTTCCGTTTACTTTTAACCCTTAGGTAACGTTAACCGGCTTTCAAATAACCCGCCCAGCCCTGAATATGAATAAGGAGAAAATAGTACAAACAGCCATACAACAGAAGCCATTTCACAATGAACCAAGCCATGAGACAAACCCAGCGCTCGGTTATGTTCAAATATGTCCCTTAACTGAAGCATTTAGTTATTGGACTATTTATAAACACAAGATTTACATTTAACAAGAATTAGAGAGTGCTTAGCGTAGCATATTATTTTCCAGGGGGGACTCCGTTACCGGAAAGTCTGGAGACATCTACAGCAGTGGGGCTAATTGTGGATACCTCTTTGTTCAGACCCTATAGCTAACCTCAAGGCGTTTCCAGGTAAATATTAACTATAAAGAATACTCTCTGAATAGACCGCAAAAGCAGTCCTTATTCGATCTTTTTCCCATCTTGCAGTCATTTCTGGTGGTCGGCTGTGCTCTCTCTCGAGTGACTGATTAGTCACGCTGGAGGCACGTGCACGTTTGTGCAAATATTGGGATGGCCTGTTATCCGAAGCCAGCTGTGCCATGTTAGCTGACGGTGTAGCCTCTGAGAAATAAATCCTACAAATATGACGCTATATGTATACTATCTCCTCACAGAACACACGCACAAGTTAGTTGGATTTAAGTTAGTTGGGTTCAACTGGGCTGGCTAAGTGACAGGAGTAAATTGAGATCTTTACACTCCTTTCACACAGAAAGTGAAAAAGCTGGTTGGAACTGAAAGGATGAAAGGAAATTCAAGACGGTCTTTGATTGGTCGCCATCTCATGGGGTGACGAAAAACTATACCATGAGGCATTGCGGGAGAACTCCTTGGCAGTTCTAAACAAAAACACCGCGAGACGACAACATGAGGGTAACGAAGTGAGCGCTGTTGCGTTTTCTCTGTACGGGAATATCATGTAAATACCCTGTATTTGTGCTGCAAGGGCAGCTTATGCTCTCCTGTGTTCTAAGAAACGGTAAAATATTATGGGAGCTAAGCAGTCTAGCCACAATGGCCGAGCGAACGCGCGTAATGTCGGCAACGGAGCCGCGGTTGCAGCAGCCGGTTTACCAGAAGGTTCAAGGGTTGTTGCGCTGGATTCACGGATAAGAACTCGTTCACTGAACAATGTTGGACAATCTTTATCCATTCCTGGCCATTCGGCTTCATTTCAAGAGTCTGATTTGTCCTCTTCGCCGGAGGATAATTCTCCATCTCCGCGAGGACTTGCGATGCAAGGAGCGCATTCGCTCCCATCTCATTTGTTCGCCACTTACACTACATTTCTAAACGGTGAGCGAGTGACATTTACTTTCTCTTTGCGATTGGCCCGTTTTTGGGTAAAGACGCTAATCGATTAATACTCTGCGAGAGAAGCTGCTGTTTGCGTTGAGTTTTGAGCTTAATCTTTTTGTTGTGGTGTACTTTGAACGCGACCGTGTTTTCTGATTAAATTTTCTTTGCAGGGGTGAAATGTCCCGTTTGTTCGAAAGTAGTTTTGGCTGACGATATTGAACTTCATCTGGTAATTTGCCTCACGAAACCACGTATTTCGTATAACGGTAAGTTTTTAATGACTTTTGGTTAGCTTTGCCTTGAATTTTAGTTTGAATTGCGTTCACGAAGTTACTAATAGGACATCAGGCTCTGAGATCAGCGTGTAGTCTGACAACACTTCTGAGCACTTAAAGTTAGAATTTAGAGGTCTTGTCGGAACTATCCTGGTAATTCAGGTTAAATGGTTATTTCCATGAAGTCTGGAACTATCATTTGACTTTTATGCAACAAACTGGGAAATTTCCGGGCCTATTGTTAAGCTCTGACCTGGAATTTTCAGCTGTTTCTGACAAAAAAAAAAATTTGGATCCAGAGAATCTCTAAAGACGAGAATACAAGATTGAGTTAACGATTTGACATCACTCACCACAAGGAACCTTGTCACCTTGTCACCTTGTCTTGTTTGATTAGCTATGGCTGTGAAAACCATGTTTATAAAAGCACGAGAAGTGGTCCCATTACCGAGACGATGTTCACAATGTTGTTTTCATCGATCACAACGTTCATGAAAAAAAAAAGTCAGCGACAACTAGAGAATACACGATACGAGATCGTCTGTAGGTTGAAAAGTTTCGTTAGTCGGGTCGGTTTTGATTTTTGTGGCGCTTTTTTGTTATAACTAGACATTGGGTAATAATTACAGACATCTATTTGTTTTCGTTCTGTTTTCCTTTCTGTGGTAATTTACATATTTCTAACCAATGAAAAGCTACATGTAGTCATAACGTGATGTAGCTCAAAGTTCCTGTTGTCTTGACACAGTGAAAGTGTAACTTTGCCATCACTGCAATGTAATATATACACAAGAATTATTTTTGATTGCTGACAGCCTTTTGGCAGCAATATTTAAATGGAATTTCTTTTCCAGATGTGATCGATATTGAGATATTCAGTTCTCTTTATATTTCAGTCAACCAAGTTTCTACAGTTAGGTATTTTCATCCTTTCCTCATTTTTCTTTACAATTAGAGGGACCTACAAAGTTGACAAGCTTGTATAAACATCTTTATGTGCAATGAGCCTAATCAGAGAACTCAATATACAATGATAAAGCAAACAAAATGTAGTTGAATTTAATAGAAACTATTTCAGTAGCATCGAGGATTGATGACCCTAGTATTTGCTTTTATACATGAAACCTGAAATCAGTTCATTTGCCAGCAAATAGGAAAGTGAGAACAATAAACTATGTCTAACGATAATGGTATTGTTTGTTTTGCTTAGTGAAACTCTAGTGTTTTGATGTACTAAAATTCACTCATTTTATGGTGGTAGTTTCTTTTTATGTCAACATCATAAAGAGAACGTGTCTTGTTTGGATTCATGCATGCCGTTTAGCGTAAAGTTCTTGACCTTTCCAAATTACAAAGATGTGATGACTTGTAAATTATAACCTGAAGGAATCATGTGGCTGTCAACTGGCTACTGGCTGATTTCAGTGGCTGAAAAAGACCCTATCACTGGCTGAAATTCCTTAGAATACAAAGACTTCGGTGTAATCAAGGTGCCTAGGTTGAAGCAAGCTTGCCAAGCTAATCAATAAGCCTGTTTAGTTTTTACCCAGCTAAATTATGTAATAATAATGTAACAATTATTTTTTTATCATTGATATTTTGTATTAATTATTTTCTTTGGCAACATTGGGTTTTTATCTTGAAAAATATTTTCAAGTTTATTCAGATCCTGAAAACAATTGAAGGGGTGAGTGCAAAACCATGCTAAGTGACGATTTGGGTGAAAAAAAAATTTTCTCGAAAGGGCTTGAAGTTTTGCATGTGGTCTTCAATGTAATAGAAAAACGTAGTCCTGTATTTTTGTCGCTGTTTTTTGCTTTGTTTATAAAGACGCCGCTAGGAAAACCGAGTGGTTTATCTGCATACGCAATATCTCAAAAATGAAGCGAAGCTTAGCGGAAAAACTACGGGACATTGTTAAACATACCTAAACAAAACTGCATGCGAAATTTGGAGGGTTTTCGACAAAGTTCAC